TCTGCTACCTTCATATCCTGGGGTTCAGGTACATCTCCTTGATTCTGCTGGGCAACAGCTGTGACCTGCATAAAGTCACATAGTTTAGTTAACTCTCCAAGACTCACTGATCTAAAGGTTTTTGTGTCACACACATTGAGAGTTAAGCATTTTATGTACACACTATAAAAAGACATGCAATTAATTTTTTGCACTGTACTCAGAGTTGACTAAATCCTTTAGAACCTAAGGGTGCTAATTTGTTTTTTGTAGGGTATTCATCTGCAAGTAAGATGAGGAGAGTATACCTTATGCTGCACAATGTTTAGCAATAATGAGAGATTCTCCGCTTTAAACTTGTACTGTAGTTATTTGCCATATTCAAAATCAAGCGATCCAAACTTAAAGCAAGTTATTGTATGCAGTATCCATTTTTTCCATCACATGGAAAAACAAGCCAGCATTAGAGTGCTTTTATTCATGGAGTTAAGTATGTACACTTTAGCCTTATTACTAGCAAAAAGTGGACGAATGTAATACCATTCTTCTCATTAATGTCAGTTAATCATTTTCAGTTTGCTTACTATCTTTCACTACTGTCAGGGTATAAAGACTGAGAATAATTTAACAGGATTGCTCCGTTTGGAAAACTAAAGATTTAAAAACATGCCCTCAAGGCCTGAAAATAAATCCCTAGATTCTTTTTCCATTTGAAGAGAGATTATACAGAGAAAAAGCATTGCTGTTTGCATGAATACAAAAGTGATCAGTTACAGATTGAACTGGTACTGGTAAGTTTCTAATGTAGCTGAAAATGGGTCTTTACAGATGTCACAGATGTCAAAACTTTGAAATAACTGTTTAACTTGCTACAGGTCCAGCAGAGGAGCTCGCAGCTATGAGAGTGATTGTATATTCCTTTCCATGGTGGATTTCGAATGCTTCTAAGGCCTGGTCTACACTAACACCCCAATTCGATCTAAGGTACGCAACTTCAGCTACGTGAATAACGTAGCTGAAGTCGACATACCTTAGTTTGAATTTACCGCGGTCCACACGCGGCAGGCAGGCTCCCCCGTCGACTCCGCGGTACTCCTCTCGCTGAGGTGGAGTACCGCAGTCGACGGCGAGCACTTCCTGGTTCGAATTATCGCGTCCAGACCAGACGCGATAAATCGAACCCGGAAGTTCGATTGCCAGCCGTCGAACTACCGCGGTAGTGTAGACATACCCTAAGAGTTCTACTCAAATCCTAATGGTTATGTTTTGCACCTGTGGTTCCTTTAGTCAGCTGTTTGCAGGGGAACACAAGTAATTTTGCTTTTGTGAGTTAATACATTTTAATGTGACTGGCTTGTGTCTGCATGTAGACTTTCATAAAAAGAGATGGGAAACTGCTATATCTTTACCAGATGTATAGGCAGTTCCCCTAATTAGGAAGAAGTGGAACTCTACCTGAGGTCTTAAGACTCTCACAATAACTGCTCTCAGCTGCTCATGCTGACGCCTGAACTTCCTCATTTGATCAAGACGAGCTTGCAGTTTCCTGTGAGCAGGATTGATACGCCACACCATCTTCAGATTCTCTTCTCTCTTTCTCTTCACAATGTCTCTCAGCAACACTTGTAGTTTCTCATATTCATCATCCCAAGTTTGGAAGACTTCAAAACATGCAACCATAACCTGAAAGTTTAAGAATGTAAACTTGTTTGACTCTCAAACGACATGCTCTCATATCTGCATTTAGTGTGTTACGTTAGCTATTACCGCATTTGACACCCTAGACCAGGGGTGGCCAACCTGTGGCTCCGGAGCCACATGTGGCTCTTCAGAAGTTAATATGCGGCCCTTGTATAGGCACTGACTCCGGGGCTGGAGCTACAGGTGCCAACTTTCCAATGTGCTGGGGGGTGCTCACTGCTCAACCCCTGGCTCTGCCACAGGCCCTGCCCCCACTCCACCCCTTCCCCTGAGCCTGGAGTGCCCTTGCTCCTCACCCCTCACCCCCCAGAGCCTCTTGCACGCCACGAAACCGCAGATCGGGCGGTGCGGGGAGGGAAGGGGAGGCACTGATTGGTGGGACTGCCAGTGGGCGGGAGGCGCTCGGAGCAGGGGGAGGGGGAGGGGCGCTGACGGTGGGCTGCTGACATATTATTGTGGCTCTTTGGCAATGTACATTGGTAAATTCTGGCTCCTTCTCAGGCTCAGGTTGGCCACCCCGCCCTACACGTACCTTTTCAAACTCTTCATAGGCAACATGCATCAGTTTTCTGGTTCCCAATACTTTAAGTAGCTGAGAACTCAGGTCTCTTGAAATGGCTTCCACTAGACGCAGTGCCCTTTGAATGGGGTACTTTGTATTTCTGATTTTTCTCAGATGGGTGAATATTGCCACAAGTGCCTGTCTTATTTTGTCCAGTTCAGTAGCAGACAACAAATCATTCAAAGGAAAGTCTTTCATCAGTGGATTGTAGTCATTTACAGTTTCCAGTGCCTGTTTTAGACCTAAAGACAATACAAAAGAGTTAAATTTAATTGACTTCATTGTGTCAATTCCATCTGGCCAGTTGAAAGGTCATATTTTTCACTTCATACAAGGTGAAGCTTTTTGATTGCGATGTTGAC